TTAATGAAAGGCTGACTAAGCTTGAAAATTGATTTATTTTATGGTAATAAAGTAAAGGGTATAGAAGAAAACTGTAACAAACAAAATATGAATATAAAAAACAGTTCGTAAGTTGCCTAAATATAAAATTACAGTTGCTAAATAGAACAAATACATACCCCTTCTTGGGTTTTCTATAATATGTAAACTTGGACGATATTTCAAGATGCACTTTTAGAGTAACAATTTCTATTTAAATTATAATTACTTCGTTATTATAATATTTTATATATAAATTTATACGATTCACAATAGCATGTTCACACCAGATCAATTATTACGAAATGACATTCATAAAGAACATTTTTGATTAGTCAAAATTTCAAATTACGAAAGGTGAAGAAGAAAAAGTGATGAAGTTGAATATCAATACAAAAAGTTTATATGCCGTCACCTAGGACGAAATAAACGGTGGTACAGCACACAATAGAAACAAATGACTTCTATAAATTTTTTGCCATAAAAGAAATCAAGTTCAAAGAAATGTAAAGAATGTAATATTTCTTTTTATCTACAGTCAACAAAACTGTTAAATTTATTCACTTATTTTTAAGCCTTAATACATCCCAGGTCCAGTTCAAAATCGATTGAGGAAATTTGACATATTGTGATAGCCTGAAGTACAGTCGTGAGTACGTAATTTATCTTATAGCATTTCTGACTGTCGACATTGTATTATAAATGGTGAAGTCAAATAAAAAATCAAATAGTTCATATAGCAGGTATACTTTGCTTTAACAGAAGCGTAACCTGCTTTAGAAGGCTTCTATAGTCCGCACTGAGCTCGCGAGTTTATAGTCATTTATGTGATTACTTCAATCCGTCAATTTTATTATAATTCATATAGGTATTTTTTATATTATTTAGGAACGGCAATAAAAACTTCAAATATTCCATTACGTTTTAAAGTAAGTTATGAGCTAATAGTAACTTCTGATAGTTTTAAATTCAATGGCGTTACATTTGTTATAATTATAATACATAGTTATAAATAGTTTTAAATTTGTTATAAATATAGGTATTTAGTTGTGATTTTATTGATCTTGAGAGTTATTACCATCTTTAATTTTACTGCGAAATAAAAATTTTGATGTATTTAATTTTGGAGTAATCCACGATTAATCTCTATCTTTTAACCAAGTAAGATGGAAGCGCGAGAGAGAAATTTGTTATTCTGACATATTATTATTTTCTAGCGTTAGCTTGATAAATAGGTAGTTTCAAGTCAATTAAGATGTTACAGTAAAGGAAATATGAAAGAACAAAACAATATAAAACAACAAGAAAAGAGTCCATGCAATTTGACTTTCTTTGATTTGTTTTCGAACTTCGAATAACGCCAAACGAAATGATGAATAAACTTTTGATTTGTTTGTTCGAATTTTGAAATATTGGACAATGTTCCTGATTAACAACTGAAAAATAAATGAATTTGTATATCTGATCTGATCATGTATGTTTTAGAATAGTACCCAAGTGTACAAGAGATTGTCGTAAAACATTCGTTCTATAGGTGGGGTGTAAATAATGCAATTTTTGTACCGAGTTACGCGTGTCTCGTGAACCTTTAAATATTTTACGAATTCACTCGTCGAGGAATGGAAATCACCGTGATTTCGTGTAGCGTTTATGAAAATCTTATCATTTGCTTTTATACAATCCTATTTTCTGTGACTGAATTTAGTGATCTATAAAATTTTATGTTCTCACAAAGTTTGTCCGTTTATATAAAGATTTTAATCAAGTTTTTAAAGACATACGATTGTTAAAGTTTTGTAGAGAAAACTTTTCATTCTTTCATATTCTACTTGAATTTTATATTCCTCTTTTTATCACCGCCGTAGTTGTCTGACTGCTGATAAAGAGTAAGAAGCTAAAGCAAAGCATTTTATTGACTATTTTGTCGTCTGTCCAGGGGAGCGGCTTCCTAAGGCCACATGGCGTATTTTTACGGAACATAGAACGCTCGCTTTTTGCGCCACAAATGCTGATTTTTGCGTTTTTATAGTTTCGAATGCGCGTAAAATGCGAAACAAACGCGCATGTGAAACGCGTTTGATGCGCATACAAAGGACCAGAAGAGGAGCGCGAATGATATTTTACTGTGTGCCGGATATTTGTATCGGTATATTTGATCGTATATGCGCAGTAGACGCATTTTTCACGGTCACCCCGTGTGCTTAGGGTACAAGGTTGCGTTCAAATCTCGTTTCAAGCGTGTATACGGGCGTTATCTGCGCTTTCGCTATAATTCTCGCTATAGTATAAAAATGTTTTTTTGATTTTATTCTTTATTAAGTTTAAGTTTTATTTCATTTTGCAGACCCCATCTTAAGTCCGTTCTTCAAACTCCTCTACACAAAACAGATTTGCTTCATATTCCTTCACTGTTCATGATGCTAGACTCTGGGAATCTCTACCTGGTGATAAACGTAACAGTTGTACTATTTCTTTGTTCAAAAAAAAAGTGAAGGTTCCTTACCTTTCCTCTTGTTGATATTGGAGAGTGTAGGTATTATCCAACTTGATATATTATAATTTATATAATGTTCGCACGATTATGTAAGTTTTTTTTATATTCCAGTATTTTTATTTCTTTATACATTCTATATAAATTTTATTTAGGAGGTACACACTGATTACCTTATTACGGATTTTTTCCTGTTGTGCCCTTGTCTGTTATACTTATGTCTGTTATATTTGTTCACGTAAAATTGTGTGTACAAAATAAATAGCCTTGTTTGTCTGAATTCGACTTTTCTAATTTAATCAAACTTAATATAATTCTGAAATCTACACCATCAAAACCATTTATTGAAATATACCTAAAAATAATAAAACAAGAACATTATAAAAAAAAAAAACATGTCCACGGTACAATTAATAAGCCCAGTGTTTTCCACGCCGGCTTCAAGATGTCGCTATCTCCGAGGTTTCGGATTCTATTCCCGGGTTGAGTCATTGTAGAATTTTTTTTTCTCTATTGTATCGGGTCTGGGTGTCATCATTGTCTTAGATACTCCTTAATACGGGACTTTAGTTATCTTGCAATCTGAGCATTGTCAGTGCTGTATGTGATGTTGTCCTAATATTTTAATAAATCTTTTTATAGCTATGGCTACGGTTAAAAGACTGTCACTGTCCTGCTCTAACTTACATATTATCGAAATGTTTAGTAAAATTAAATATAAAAGAAATTTATCTCTCTTTTCAGATAACCATGTGGATTCTTCTTCTACTGTTCATGGTGCCAGTACTATGCCAGCAGCAGTGGGTGCCATGTTCAGAGCTGAACGACGATTTACGTTACCCTTGCCGGTGTCGTGTGCAAGTGGACCGTACTTTGCAGCTGAGGATTCTAATGAACTGTGATCGAGTGGTATTTGCTGGAGACTACCCGTCACTGCCTTACGGCGCGCCGATCATATCGTTTAGCCAAAGATGGTCTGGGCAGCAGACATTGCCGACACAGGTCAGTGCTATAAAATTTACTAACTACTAGTACGAATTAACACGACACCCGGAGGCCTACTTTATTTCTCCGAAACGGAGTTACGTCTATTTTTTCAATGCTAATACGACTCTAAGAAGTGCTTTCGATAATTTATGATACAATTGAGGAAAAAGCTGATGCACAGATTATTTTCATGGATTTTATTTCAACAAATTAGAAAACGAAGGAAAAATTTCCGAATTTTCGTTCGAGAATAAATAGAATAGGAATAGGTGTCATGTTAATTCGTACGAATCATATAGTATGCTCTGAGGAGCAACTTTCGCAAGGGTCGGTCACGAGATGGGTGACCAAAAATTATTATCTCGAGCTACTCCGTGTTTCGGAAGGCACGTTAAGCCGTTGGTCCCGGCTGCATTTGCAGTCGTAAATATCTTCCAATCCGCATTGGGGCAGCGTGGAGGGTCATGGCCCATCCTCCTTAACCATCCGTAAGAAAGGCCTGAGCCCCTGCAGTGGGGACGTAAAAGGACTGGTAATGATGATGATGATATAATATGCAATGCACACTCTATTATTCATATCAATAAAAAATAATAAGTCTAATGTAGTGCTGCTGAACCTGTAGGTACCTGTGCTGAACCCCGGGTGCGCGAGTAATATATAAGGACTGCCTTAACACGGCAAATGTGCGCTAGTGAAGTTATTACTCAATATTAACATCAATTTATAATAAATGTCACCGATTTAGTTGCAAACAAAGTATATTTAGGAACGACTTCTAATAGATAGATAGATAGACAGATAACTCTTTATTGTTGACATTACACTATTTACAGAAACAAACATAAATTAAAGTTATTTAAAAATGCAAACAATATTATTTTATTGGTGTTAATATAGTTTTCTATTTACGTAGATGAATAGTTCGACTTCATTTTTTATTTAAGCGGAACCCTTGAAATCGTGATTGATTTCTCAGGGGTACATTGCCAAGAAAAGGTTGGGAAATGGCGGTTTAGTAAATAAAATTTCGTACTTTAACTACAACAACAACAACGTAAGTCTTTTTGTTGGTTGGGGTTACAGCATTTGTTTATGATCTTTATCTGTGGGGGAGGATTGTAATTTGCTGTTTATTACATAGATTGTAAGCGATTATGTAATGGAAGCAGTTAGTACCCGATATGTAATAAAGAAAGCGACTTAATTATTTAAGAAGCAACTATTGAAGTAGGGCAGAGGTTTTCTATAGGTTATTAAATAATAACCGTTCGACTTCAATAGAACAAGCTGTCCAATAAAAAAGAATTTAAAAACCGGTCAATAACGTACGAAAATTTGGTTAACATATTACATGAAAATACATATATCGTAGTCGAGCTAAGCTCCTCCAATTTTGGAGTCAGTTAAAAATGAATATTGCTTTTATATTTATAAAAATTAAGACAATGTATGGCTTTCATATGTAAAAGCTGAAAGTGTAAATTATTACTATGTAATTGAAATGAAATGCAGTACCTACCAGGTTAGTTTTAACTATACTTAGATTGTAATTTGATTTGAATGATTGTGGTTAAGTCAATGCTCTATTGTAATCCAATAATAGTTAATACCTTAGGTTGAAGGGTCCCCAAGATAGTAATTGTCACTTCGGCGTGATTCCTCACTGGATAATCGAAATAATCCTATAGCAAGCGCTTAGATTCTATAATAACATTTAAGGGTTAGAATGATATTGAGTTGAAGACTAAAATGGAATGAATTAGTGAAAAAACTAAAGCTCGTTAAAAAACTTTTTCACTTTGACTTGTTTTTAGATGATTCCAATTTAAACTCTTTCGCCTTCGAGTCCAGTCCAATCACCAGCAGTGCTAACATCCGTTTTCAAATGCCGGACGTTATTATTTCTTTGAAGTGAAATAAAACTTTTTCGGGAAGTCTCCATACGCTTTAATACTAAGTCTATAATGGTGATGCTGATTATATATAACGTATTAAAAGTGTAATTAGAACGTGTTAAAAACGTTAATAATCAGCTATTATATGCAATTTAAGTGTGTCTTAAGAGAGTATTGTTAAACCGTAGACTTCCCAAAAACGGTTTCATTTAACTTCAAAGAAATAATTAAATATAAATTTGTAAATAAATCGAGTTGATAGTATGACCGAATCTTATACCGTTTTAGCGTTTCGTTGTTTCGGTCGATGATCTGCGTTTGTGGCATAAAATTTGTTCATATTCGAATTTAGAATAGATTTATATATCTATGATAGTATGGTGAAGGCAAAATTTTCATATAAATTAAGTCTTACGCAATACTGTATACCTAAGAATAAAACATAAATCAGGAATGGCTAGCGTAATGTCAGAGTAAAATGAATCAGAATACAGTGGGAATCTTAGGGTAACAGCACATATGTTCAACAGTTGGATCGGATCAACGCCTGAGAATTATCAGATCATGAACGATTGCGTGCGATCGCAAATAGAAATCTATCATTTATTCGCCTGATGTGTCTACTATGTCTGCCCCAATAATTTTTGGAATTGTGCCTACTGTCGCAGCTATTATTAGTTTTTCCACTATTATCATCATATTCTCTTATTTTGGATGGGATTAATAATGTGTTCGGATGCGGAGTGACTAGCGAGTCCAGTCTGTTATGTGGTAGTTAAGCAACTGTCGTAAGTGCTGATGGGTGACCAAAAATTTGTTATCTCAGGCTTTAATCGAAGTGAATCGTGCTTTGGATCACATTGAGCCGTTAGTCCAAGCTCCTTTTGCAATCGTTCATACCCACCGATGTGCACTGAGCCCGCATGGTTGTTTTTAGTCATGCGATTACTTTAATACGTTATTATTTATAATTCACATAATCTTTTTTACAAAGTCAAAACATGTTTAATCAAATAAATTTATATCAAGCAGTTTTGAAATCATCCATATTTTTTCCATTCAACTCGTGAGGACGTCTTCTGGCTGATAAGAAGAACGAGCTATAATTTATACTTCCATTAAAACTTACCAGATCTAACGTAAGTATGGAAATAATGACATTCACAAAACCCATGTGACCAGATCAATACAAAATTGTTGATCATAACTTCCACTTACATTTTTACGAGTATACTTATTTAGGATCGGCAATAAAAACTCTTTAAATAATCCTACAAGTTTTAAAGTGGGTGATGAGTTAATAGTTAGTGCTGATAGTTTTAAATTTCAATCAGCGTGTTTGTTACACATTCCGTTTGTGTAAGCACAGCGGCTTTGTCTAGGTTTAGTATTTGTTTTCGGAAATAAGTGTTCAATTCAATTCCACACTGCCCACGCGGCAATACCGCGTAACGGAATATAAGTTAAAACGTATAACGATTGTTTGATCAACGGTGAAGAGCTTTTTGCTTGATTGAAAAGGATTTTGGATCTTATTTTTATAACACAGAAGCTATTTTTGTAATCTAGTAACAGTATATGTTGCTAATTCGTAAGTAAAACTGATCACTAAAAATAATTACATACATTTTAAGCTTAAGAAAGTTATAGAGAGGTGTTTGATATATTGAAGATACCTTTTTTATGCGTCGGGAAAATGCTTTAAGCATAGACCCTGCCATCTGGCGACAGACAGGGGGGTGTAAATCTCCTCCGTCACAAGAGGCTTACCCACCAAAACCCTTTTTTTTTGTAATTGTAACGCAGGGGAAATTCACCTTAAGTCTCATCCTTATACCCAGCTCTAAAAAGGGCAGGTTGGTGTGGAAAGCCTACGTGGTAAAATCCGCTGCGGTTCACCTAATACGGATAGGAAGAACCCGGTATCCTGCAAGGAGGGCCCGGTTTCTTCCGCCGCGCTGGGATTCCACTCGAGAGTATTTGCAGATACTAATACCGACTTAAAAAATTTCGAAAACTTTTTTGTTTTTATATTTACAAAGGTAGGTATAAAATAAATAAAATTTAGGACATTTTATTTCAATCAGGTCGAGGATTATCTGGCCATGCTTTTAACTGCCCAACTTCAAATGTAGTTTCGTTAATTTTTTGTTAAGTACGTTAAAATAAATCCAAATTTATATTATACAGTTTAGTTTAGAGACAGCTAGTACAGCTGAATTGACATCAAAATTATTAAAAAAAAGTTAATTTTCTACATACATTCTTAAAGGACCTCAGATATGGCGACTTTGAAATCGGCGTACAAGCCACTCGGCTACGAAATCGTCCAATCAATATTGAAGATAGATTTTAGAGTACATTGATTAGATATATGTAGCTCTTTGAATTGTAATTCAACGAAAGGACAATGAAGATGTCAGTGTTGTGTTTGACAAGTAGACCATAATATATTAATTGTAACATTAATATATAATATAGGTACAAAGGCTTGTATTAGGACCCCTATGCATAAGTAAATACGTAATCCCGGTTTGCGTGTACGTTCATTCTGGGCATATCAAATAGTCCCTCTCCTATTCAATAGCTTTGAAATTAATTAACGCGGATAAAATTTATTGTTTATTAAGATATTTCATATTTTGTAATATGAGATGAAATTATAAGTATCATATTAAGGGTATGAATCAATCTTGAAAGTTTCGGTTCCAACTAGCTGTCTTCTTGCGACTTTGTCCACGTGATTTCATAGCCTATTTTACCGGTGTATATTGTAGTTTGATTTTTAATATAGGTCAAGTAGTTTTGTCAGGGAATTTCGTTTCGTTCAATGCAAAACAAACATAAACAATTTATCTTTTCTCTTTAATTGTATGGTACCGAATCTATTTCTTTATAAACCAATAAAGTGAAAAGTTGTGTTTCTATTCACAATATTATTAATATGACAATGATGATTAAACTTAATAATATGATTTTTCATAATGTTAATATTATTTGAAACATCTTAAAGATAGTCAATGAAATAAAAACAATGAGTGCTCGCTACAAACTGGCCGCTTAATGTGTTTTAATATAAACATGTCATAAAATTATTACGAAGTCTTACAATGTGCCTTAATATCTCCATTGTAATGGTTTAATGTGCCTTAAAAGCGGTAAAACTCTTGGATACTAGATTTTATTGGAGCGGAGATATTAAGCTTACACCTTAATGGCATAATATAATTCAATTAATTTCGTGCGATGTTACCAACTAATTTCTAAATATTATAATAATATTGCTCTATAAATTCACAGCTTGATTAGTTTTGAATTGGTCGGTGGTTTGTTAAGTTTCTAATTTGGGTTATAGTACTGAACAAGAAGTAAACAGCATTGTGTTTCAGTAATTTAAAGATTGAGTTAATTTAATACATTTTGAGGCGCACTACTCCTCATTTAAATAAAAAATAAATCATTTTTTTAATAAAGCTATTTTTAACGATTCCATAGAATGTACTTTTGAAAAATTATTAGTTCATTTTGCAGTAGTTTTGGAGTTTTTACAGGTTCCCTGTTTACTTAAAGTCTTTAATTACTTGTAATCTAAATATATATAACTCAAAGGTGACTGACTGATATAGTGATCTATCAACGCACAGCCCAAACCACTGGACGGATCGGGCTAAAATTAGGCATGTAGGTAGATGTTATGACGTAGGCATCCGCTAAGAAAGGATTTTGACCAATTCTATCCTCAAGGGGACAAAATAGAGGATGAAATTTTGTATGAAACTTTGTCAATTTTAAACCGATCCGGCTGAGACTTTGCATGCATAGAGCTACTATGACGTAGGCATCTCTTAAGAAAGGATTTTGATCAATTCTATCCTCAAGGGGATAAAATAGGGGATGAAAGTTTGTATGAAACTTTGTCAATTTTAAACCGATCGGGCTGAGAATTTGCATGCATAAAGCTACTATGACGTAGGCATCCCCTAAGAAAGGATTTTGATCAATACTATCCCCAAGATGCAACTTTATTTCAGGTATTTTACACAATTAATGTATAAATATTCGTTAGAAATGCTGCTCAAAGTAACTTTACCACGCGAACGAAGTCGCGGGCAAAAGCTAGTAATTAAATAATCTTTCAATATTACACGAAATAAAACAGTTTAAAATAAATTTTATTTAATAAGGAGTTTTTGCGTTAAAATAAATGATAAAAGCATATTCCTTGTGCCGTTCCTATAAAGATGATATCTTCTGTATGCGTAAATAAAAGAGTAAATGTAGGTATTTAAGTGGAGTGTAGATATCTAATGTATGACGTATTTTTTACTCGTATGCCACAGCGTAAAACTTACAGTGGAGCAACCCTTTGAAATTGACAGTAAATAGCGTCTTTTTCTAGACATTCCTTACTGTAGCAGGGTCGCCTGATTTTTTTTTATATATATTTAGTACGCATATGTAGACCATGAATATATTAAAACAAAGAAAAATCTCACACATTACTTGTTGTGTAGCATTATCGTAACAACAATAATAATATATGAACACACACTTAAGAAAATATGTCTCTCCAGGGAACAGGATACGAAATCTTAGCTATGTTATGGCGAAATTCGTTTCATTATACTACTTTGACATTTACTTTGGTGACGACGAGCGAACGATAGAAAATGATGATTATGTAGGTATTTAACAGCAGTTTTACCAACTTAGTAATTTATCCCTTTATCCAGCAAAAGACATGTCAAAGTAGTAATAAGATACGAAGTATCGTCATAACATCGCTAAGGTGTCTTATCCTATGGCCAGAACCAAGGCTAGAGAGTTAGTTGATCGCACGCCTGAAGTCCTGACTGATGTCTCCTTGAGCGAGTGCATGGCAGCTTTGACTCACTACTGCCCTGTTTTCACCTTACAAATACTTCACCATCAGAGATCTGTTTAGTCTTAATATTGCTTATCGGTCGACTGTAGGTAAATATAGATCTTATTTCTGCTATGTGGCTGTATTCTTTGTTTTTATTCCGATTTTTCTTATTCGTCATTATATTCACTGAAACTAAGCAAAAACTAGAAGTTTAACTAAAGAAAATTTCCTAATTTGTTTACGATTTTTTGATCATGAAACACAAAAAAAAACAATACACACAAAACACAAAATATATTTGATTTTGATAGCATCAAGCAGGTCAAAACATTTTATTTATTTATAGGTACAAAGACTTGTCAGCCAACAGACTAAAATCCAAAATGCCAACAAGTTAAAATTATGAAACAAAATTTTACATTGTTCATTCATTAAATATAAATAATAATAAAAAAAAAAAACTAAACCAAATACAAAGTGAGTCAGATCAATCTATTAATCTATTATTGTGTCAAAATAATAAAAATACATTTAATAAATTATTATTTCCAATGTCAATTAAAATTTACAAAAATCATTTATTACATATAAAATAAAGAATATACGTATTTAATGAATTAAGAATTCCAAAGTCAACATAAAATTTTACAACATTCATACATATAATAACAAAAAAAAAAAAACATTTAATAAGTTATGATTTTCAATGTCAATTTTATCATTAAGTCATTTTATTATAAATTATTTGTCCATGTCATCTAAAAAAGCCCGAAAACTAGTCATGAAAACTGCCAAACTATGTGCGAATATGTCAATTTCATCGTACCGAGCGACTACGTCACCTATGAGTGTGAAACGCTAATACGTGCACTTAAAACGGTTTCTAAACAAAGTGCATACATTTATTGAATTCGAAGAAGTATATTGTTAAATTAAGTAGACCTGCTACCCCTAACTATACTAAAAAAAATTAAGTAGATTGTCATAAAATTATGCCTTTCGTTAAATAGCTTACATACAAAAATGACAAAGAATAAAAATAAACAATAGCGGATTCACCGATAAAATGTGAAATTAATTGTGGGTCAGATACAATAAAAATGCATAGAATACTTCACTGAATCATTTATCAATAGCTTTCAACAAACAACGAATAAATAATGGTCGGCCGTTTTAAACAAAACTGTTGAGACAACAGCTGTCGACTGGATGACCATAATGAAAGAAGTACAGTAGGATTACTCTACACGAGTTCTCTCTCATTGCTATATAAACATTTATATACCTAAACAATCAAACTAAATTCTATTTATTTGTTTTCTTTTCTATATTTTATACCTTAGTTTTCTCTGTTAGGGCTATTCCTAGGGATTCGGTATGAAAAAATACATGTATATATTTTTTAAGGATACTTTAAGAATTATCAGTTAAAAGAAAATATTTTTGGTTACTTGCGAATCTTGTGATCTATAAGTAGTGAAGAAGTAGCTTTATCAAATACACGTAGACATACATACTACACATATTATCTCACTTATGTTTACATGCAAACACACATACAGTATGGTGCAATAGCCCATTTTTTTGTTACGTTAAAAGTAATTTCTAACAGTATAAGCCATTAAGAAGAAGTTGTGTAATAAAAAAAAAGATGCTTCTGTACTTAAAAAAATATCACATACCTTGTACTGAGATCTGAGTAGAAATTTTATGGAATCATAGGAATAATACTGAGCCTTCTTTTATTATGGTGCGATCCACCCGTCAAAACTGTACCGATTGTCAAAGTTACTCCATCCAAGTTTGAAAGGCGAGGCTTTGAGCGAAGGAGTTCACAAACTTATGATCTTGAATACATATCTGATGCGCGAGACACAATACTTAGAATTATTGATTCTTCTGTTCTTTGAGTGCGTACTTCTCAGTTGTTGGTAGAGATTTCTTATAGTTGTAGGTGAAAGTAATAAAAGCAAAAGGGATCTAGAAATTACTCTATGAACTAGCTACGCTCTTTTAAAATAATGATAATGTTATTATATATTTCATTTGTTTACTGTCTATTGAGAAGAGACAGAGCTCAAAGATAGTGCATTAGTAAAAATCTTTTTTTATACATACTACGAGTAGCTTTCCGTCAGCGATTTCACCCGAGTGGTTCAAACAATGATTTCACTGTACGTTTACCCCTAGGGAACCGTTTGTATGCCATATTTTATCGCAATCTGTTCAGTAGTTTTAGCGTGAAAAGTAGCAAACATACAAACATTTAACCTCACAAATTTTCGTGTTTATAATATTAGGTTAGACAAAAACTCGGCCTGGGAGTTCATAATGAAATAAGTCGTACAGTTGGGTTATTATAAAAAGTCACATTTGATATCTATCAATCTGAACTCGATCGTTAGGCTTCCTTCTTCAAATTTTCCATGAAAAATTTTTTGGTTTTAAAAGAAATGTCAATTGAATGAAGTTATTGTGCAATAGTAATATAAATTTTATGATTACCATCAATATATTATTTCGTGAGATTGATTTATTAAATTATATATAGAATAAAATCACAGACAATAAATGAATGACGCACAAATTTGTTATTACTAAGGGGAATGCAAAATTTTAAAGAGTGGGAATAAATTCAAAATGCCTTTGTAGCATTGCCTACGGCAAATAGATAGGGACAGAGTATGTCGAATTGCGCGTCAAAAACCGTTTGATTAATCACTTGCAACTGCATGATTCCATGGGCCAATAAAGTTATTTACTTGTTTATCAATGTTCCCAACAAAAAATAATTATGATAAGAAATGGAGTAAATTGAGAATTTAAGTAACTTTTATTCATACTTCAAGATTATGTTGCGTTTCACTTTGACTATGGTTATTAGCTTGTTAGTTAAAAAAGTATAGAGGATTTCTTTTTTTATTTTCCAGATATTCGCATCATATGGTCTACCGCTGAAAGAACTAGATTTCTCTTACAACAGTCTTCGTAGACTACCCGACCGTCTCTTATCAGGAGTTCGAGGAAATATCTCTCGGTTGGTCCTAGCTGATAATCTTCTTGGAGACAACCTGAACCCGATATTCTCCACTGCTGAGTTTCACAATCTTCCTGCTTTAGAGGAGTTAGATCTTAGCGGAAACAGTATTAGAGGCATCGAGGAAGGATTGCTAATTGGATGCGATGTGCTTAAGGTAAGGAAAAAAATAATAAATTTAGATTTCAATATTTCTATATTCCAATTTAGTGCAGGCTTTTGAACTCTATAATAATGATAAAGTTTATATTTAACTTTTTTGATTAATTAGAAACTCATTCATTCTTCTTAAGTGTAATATATTTATATGTTAGAAAGTCAAATGATACAGCAAGTTTGAAATTAAATTCATAAAAACGGATAGTGTTTTCATTGCTGTAATTAAAATGATAAACTTTCGTTATAATTATCATATATTATCATATATATTTATAAATATCAAATTAAATATGCATTTTTATTTGAGTTTAATATTTCAGCTCTTACCTGCCACAATTATTTACTGTAAAATAAATAACCAACACTTAACTCGTGATTTAGAATATTTATTTATTTATTTAACACTTTATTGCACAAAAAAAAGTAAAAATATATACATTGCAAGGAACAAAAAAATATATAAATATCAAACAAATCTTTTTGTTTTCACTTGACTTTTTTATTACTCAATATGTCAAGCTTTCTCGTTTTCTTTATCTGTTTTAAGGTTTAAAATGCTTTGGAAATCATCACAGATTCTTCTATAGAAACTTTCTGTCAGATGGTTGTGTCGCGGGGTAAAGTGTTGTATACTGACAACTCGTTATTCGCGTTCAGGAATGTAACTGACACTTTTAGTATTTATAAACACATACATTATTTTTATTGTTTCTTTGCACCTATTGTTATGTACTAGAAAAATTATATCAAATGTCACTACCTACAGGCTCTGCCAGAATACTAGCGCTGTTGCGTGAGTTGATTCTCACTGTAACAGCACAAGCTGAGGTAGTGTCCTGATTGACCCCATCAAATATATATGATAGGTTGAAATATGTATGTTACCGTCTTCTATATTCTGTATCACTTTTTATTTTTTTTTATTTATAATTGTAATGTGTAATGTGATGGTCAATAAAAATACTTACCATTTACATCGCTTTATTGCAGGTGTTACGTCTTGACCGCAATAACATCAATTCTGTGCCGTCCTCCTCACTTAATGGACCTCAGGCTCTCAGAGTAATCTCCTTAAGGGAGAACAGAATAGGTAAATGCCACTTTTGTGCTTTGATTATTTAATTGCTTGTGGTGGCGACTACAGCTTTTACATTTGAATTAATTATAATGTAACATGGAAATGTGTGTAACTAAATTTTTGAAGTGGACAACTACTGAAAATTGGGTCAAAGCTCGTTATAAATACTGTTGTTCAATCAATCGATATAGGATTGTAGAACAGCTAATTGGTAAAGAATTATGAATATAACATACGTGACTAAAAACGAAATTTTTGTAACATAATTCTATCGAAATAATTCTTTGATTAATACATATATAAAGTTGATTTTTTATGTAACAATATTTATTGAAACTTATTAGTGAAGCTCACAGGACAATTTGAGTCTTTTCTGAAATACCAAATAATTTACTCTCAATATAAGAAAGAATATCTGAAAAACATCTCATTAACTGTGACGCAATTCTATTGTGCAGACTTTTTTTTTTTGCTAGAACCGACTCTGAATTCAATTAACAATATTAAATGGAAATATGTTGGAAACATTCAATATTCGTGATATTCTGAGAATTCTTGGTGAAGTTGAAAAATATCATTAGTAAAAACTTTGTTCTGTAGTTCTTACAAAATTCAAATAATAAATACGCCTACTGCTGAGGCCTGAATAGGCCAAACATTTGGATAGAACCATATACAGCGTGTTTGGTAATACCTGTATAATCCCGAATATGGCACATACGGTATGATGAATAGAACCCAGAAAAATTATCATTAAGACTGAAACCCAGCACATGACCTAGATATTCAGCTTTTTTTCTTCGAAGTAAAACTGTACGCTGACAACCCTAAAAACAGCTGTTGTGTTGTATTTGGTCATCGACTCCATGTGCCGAACTAGTTTAAAAAATAACAGAAGTTAAATAAATCTAAAGATAAATGCCTAGAATAAATATGCATCTGAGAGGAATTTATTATTTCCAAACAAAGAAAAAGTTAGTAGTAAATGACTTTTAACTATAAAAAAACACTAATCTTGTGATTAACGGTGTTTCAAAAACTATTAATATGAAAACTTCTGTAATAATACAATCAAAATAAAAAAGAAATTGCAAATACTTTGATTGAAGTTCAATATCTGCACCATTGCTCACATTAGTCTATGCAAGAAGGAGCGAGAGAGACATAAAATCGACGACGATGTGTATTGAGCACGAAACTCGGGTTTCTGATGTGTCAGTAAGGTTCTGTAGATTATTTGCTTTGAAGTTTTGTTATTTTTTTCATAAAGCCGTGTTATTTTCACGAAACAATAAAATACGGACTTATACAATGATATTAATAATCTAAGTATCTCTCTTATTCTTAGTTTAAATGATAATTAAATAAAGGTTAGTTGTAATGGAAAGGTCTAATAATAAATAATATTTCTTGACGCGGAACCCCAAAATCGGTACACTTTTGATTTAGGTACATTGGTGTTCGAGTTGCAATAATAATAACCTATGTAGTTTTGGTCATCGCGTCAGTCGCGTCCATGACTTTCATCGGCGTACTTGTGAGTTTTCAGAATTTAGAAGGTCAACTTACGTTTTCGTTCTTTCGGGACTTTTGGTTTGTTTTTCATTCTCGTTCTGTTTACCTGTGTATTATGTTTGTGTGCGGTCAGTGCAATGAATTCGTACTCAAATGCCTAATATTACGAGACGATAATGTGTGGCGGTGCTTGTGACGGTAATCTTGCTGCGGCTCGGCGGCGTTATGACGAGCGCCACGTGTCAGGAAGACCTGAAAACCATCGACGTCTTCCTTCTTACCGGTGATTCGCGGCATTTGTGAATTGGTTACATACAACTGGTTCATTCCATAGTGTGCCACAGGTAGGCCGGCCGATCACCTATTCTATCGAGACAGAGGATATGACTTTACGTCGAGAGTAACACGACACGGTCTGTGTCGAGTCGAATGGAGATGTGTGTTTTATGCGGTGGCCGGCATATCGAGACCCTGGACTGATAAAGTGGAGGTGAAGTGTAGGTAATGTTGACAAGTGAAAGCTGAAAGAGTGATTAGAACGCTATAGGTATGTACCTATTTAATCTTAAATTGTTTTAATTACAAGTAAACTCATACGTAGTCGAGTGCGCGCATCGGCAACATCAAAATGTATTCAAGGAAACGAGAGAGTGAGAGGTAATGAGAGAGAGAGAGAGAGAGAAAGAGCGAGTGCGCCGGGACGGCACGTGTAAGCTTACAGGGTTGTAGCATAGTAATTGAAAACAAATTGTTCAAATATTTGTATGAAAATATCAATTTATATGAAATTGTTTTTTGATCTATCAATTGTGTTCTTTGTGCTAGGTTGTATGGCCATGTTTCGGGATTATACAGATATTACCAAACACGCTGTATATATAAATATATAGAACTCATCATGCGGGCCTAGTGTGAAAGCGCTACAATCTGTGGGTGTTAGCTACAGTATTCTTATCCAAACTCAAAAGCTCGTGCATTATTATCTTGAGTGGTCAAATTACTATGAGTTAGATTCACGTTACAACTCATAGGAGCTTGGCCACTTATCTTTGGACTTTGCGAAACTTGTTCAAACACCGCAATGGCAGACCGAATACGTCAACTATTGTGTTTCTTAGTTCCACTTAATTATAGAATCTCTTTATATATAAAATTCTCGTGTCACAATTTTCGTTCCCGTACTCCTCTTAAACGGCTTGACCGATTCTCATGAAAATTTGTGAGCATATTGAGTAGGTCTGAGAATCGGCTAACATCTATTTTTCATACCTCATAGTGATAAGGGTTACGGGAAACCGACTTCCACGCGGACGAAGTCGCGGGCGGCCACTAGTGTTCTGATAATATTAAAGTGTTTGTATATTAATGTTACATTTTTGTTACAGCTTTAATACGCCAAGCTTCGTTCCTGTCACAGAAAACCTTAGAGGAAATCGATTTGCATGGAAATATGATATCGAGTATAGAGGGGGGAGCATTTGTTGGTCTTGGCGACTTACAAATTCTCGATCTCGGAAGGAATAGACTCTCTAAATTTAACAGTGACGTATTTCAAGGCATCCAAAACTTAGAGAAATTGGACCTCTCAGAGAACTTTATCACGGACTTTCCTACGGTTGCCATGAAGTCGTTTATAGCGCTTCAACACTTGAACCTTTCTAGTAATACGATAACGGTAAGAACTTTTGATTTACCTACTATTAAAATTAATTTTAATTATGTCTTCTTTTGGAATTTTTGCGGACTCTATAATCGTGTAAAATGTTATTAGTTCCTGACATAAGTCCTTTCATTTGATAGGCATGGTAACCGATATAGCTTTCATTTTTTTATATTTTGAAATTTATCCACTCAAAGTGAATCAATATTTGAAGTTACTACGCGTTTCGGGTCTTCAACTTTTTGTGTACAGTAAATTTAACCAATGTGGTGCATGGCGGATCATCGTTTGCGAAGAGCAGATTTGCTAATTTTGACGATGACCGAACGTATGATTAAAAATAGTCTGCCTAGTTTTAATTGACATAAAATGTAAAATTCAAATTCATTAGGTATCTGTCTCACTCACAATCAGCGGGGGCCAAACGTGTAAATATTGGTGGATCACCCGATGGCGTGATACTTGAATTATTGTGATTGGCTTGTCGTGTTTCAAAATTTTGCCATTGGTTTTGACCATGAGTTGTATTTTCATGATGTATAGCTCAATCCGCCCATTCGTGTCAGAGTAAAGCTACGATAGATAGACGGACTGACATACGAATGCCAGACGTAAATGTTCACAATTTTTTCTTTTTGAGGCACATTACCTTAAAAATATGATAAGTAGGACTACCGAATCAATCAAACTTATATCTTATTACAGAAATACTTAGAACCAGCAGTTATATTCGATATGTAAATTTATAATTGAATGGTACGGATTCCCAGATCCATTTCGATATTACAAATTTCCACATAAATTCTTGTTGCTTAGGTCTCCTTGCGTTTCTAATTGAATCGATAAAATTATTTTACCCACTTTCGTTTGACATTCGATTTTGGTATGAGGAGCCTTATTGTCCGAGAGAAGTTTTCTTCTTTTCTTTTATTAATCCAAGAAATTATTGTTTAGAATAAGGAATGAAGTGTTATTCATAGAAAACAAATTTTGTGAGAAAACATTTACATTAATTTGTTTTAATTTTCTTAGAAGCCTTTTTAGTGTGATTTTCGAATTATATCGTATTATTTGTTCTAAGATAGAATTGCTAAGTAAGCAGAAGTCATAATATTTAGTAACGTAAAGTAACGATTGTCTCTAAAATAATTTTATGAATTTTGCAGTAGTTAAATTGTCAAAACTTTCTGAAATTAAACATAAATTATATAAAGATAAATAAACATTATTGAATTTACCTTTTCTTAATGTTTCATCTATTTTTCGTAAAATAAATATGTCTAATGCAAATATATATTTTAACAACAATTCATAATACAATATAAAAAATTATATTTGCTTTATAATTTATTTATAAATATGCAATTTGTATTTTTAAGCGTGATATGAAAGATTCTGTATTTGAGGGCTTGGGTGTATTATTATTCGTACTAAACCATTGTTGTTTTGTTTTAGAATATCGACAATAGTCACTTGAGCTCGCTAGTGTCACTAGAAGTTTTGGACCTCAGTAGAAATAATTTAGTCAAACTTTCACCTGGAACATTCGTTGGTCTCACTGAACTACGTTATCTTGATGTCGGAGTTAATTCTCTACGCACTGTAAGTACAATCTTTGAGTTATCATACAAAAATTTCATAGAAAAACGATAAAATATCACCATTACCTTAGCTGAATTGTGAATTTGTATAACCCTAAAAGTTGCTGTGTAGATTACAGCAATTATGGGGTTACGCGAAATTTAAAGTCTATCCTTAACAAATTGAAATGATATGATAATATTATTCAAAACGTAAAATTCTATTTCTTCTATTTTGATAAGTTTTTGGTATGCCGAAACCTTTAAAAAATGTCTTCGTTCGTTTTGAATTAAGCACACTAAAAGGAAAACCTTTTAACTTTTACTCATTGTCTGACATCTTCAATATATCGATTATCTCGTATATTTAATTCAGTAGGTAATTATGTACTTATTTTGTTTAAGGTGGAGGATGACGCATTTGATGGTTTATCAAATCTGCAAACTTTGCTGCTCCGGGACAACAACATTCTTCTAATACCAGCTACAGCACTCTCTCGGCTGCCAAACTTGATTTCAGTACATTTAGGATTCAATAGAGTTACCGCTTTATCTAGTGATATCCTTAGAGCAGTATCTGATAGAGTTACTTCACTAGTTTTATCTCGTAATGTCATTAGAGAATTACCAGCATCAGCTTTGGATCACTTCAAAATGTTACATCACTTAGATTTGTCAGGAAACTTGTTGAATTTTATATCAGCTGAAGTGTTCACTGGTTTAGAATCCTCGCTACAATTTTTGTCTTTAAGCCAAAACAGAATACTAGGATTTTCAGGTGAACAACTTAAGTTTGTAAATTTGTGGTTCTTAGATATATCTGACAACCAAGTGACTGAAATTCCAGTTAATGTATTTGAATTCATTCCTAGCTTAACTCATTTGAATATAAGTTATAACGGGCCAATCAGTGTATTGCCGCAAAACGTATTTAATCACAACCAAGCTTTGTTGAGCGTAGACATAAGCCATGTTGGATTGAAAGCACTCCCCGTTAATTTATTCATGAAAACTCCCAACTTAGAACAAATCAATTTGTCATACAACCTGCTGCAGGAAATATCCGAAAACACATTTAAAAATTTGAGAAATTTAACTCATCTCGATTTATCGTACAACAATATTGTTAATATTAGAACACCGGCTTTTGTAAATATTATGTCTATTCAGTATTTGTCTCTTAAAGGAAATCAATTGAATGCGTTCAAGGGTGAATTCTTCAACACTGGCACAAGTTTAGAAGTTATAGACCTTTCACAAAATCAGTTGAGTTATTTGTTCCCGTCCTCATTTAAAATACACCCTCGTTTGCGAGAAATTATACTCACAGACAACAAGTTTAATTTCTTCCCGTCCGAACTTATTAGCACTTTACAATATTTAGAACTGGTAGATTTATCTGGAAATGTTTTGAAGAACGTAGATGAACTCGACTTCGCTCGTCTCCCTAAACTAAGGACAGTTTTGCTATCACGAAATGAACTTGAGACAATAAGTGAAATGGCCTTCCATAACTCCACACAAATTCAATATTTAGATCTTTCGGATAATAAGATCGACCGCCTCGGTGACAGGCTTTTTGAAGGGCTTATTCGGCTAGAACTACTTAACTTAGCAGGAAATTCTCTTACAGAATTGCCAGATAATATTTTTGATCGTTCTCGACTACACATGTTGGAAAAAATAGTCTTGAGTCGAAACTTATTTGAACATGCGCCTCTGAAAGCATTACAGAAGCAATACTTCTTTGTATCATCTGTAGATTTGTCTAATAATGATATTGTTGACATACCAGCTGAAGACAGTGTAATGGTTAATATTAAAAAGTTGGATCTCTCATTTAATCCACTGTCTGATAAAACAATTAATAACGTACTCACTGAACCAAAAACGGTACGAGAACTAAATCTTGCAGGTACCGGAATGAAATCGGTGGGGCAACTTGAAACTCCTTTCTTGTATAGTTTGAATCTATCATACAACAATATTACTAATTTATCTGAGAAGACTTTTACGAGAACAACTCTGCTGGAGTCGTTAGATCTTTCGCACAATAATATTAAAGATGTTGCTGGTGCACTATCAATATCATGGCCGAAACTTAAAAATTTACAGCTTTTGAACATATCAGATAATCCAGTACCTATGATTATAGATGGAAACTTCGAGGGCTTATCGTCTCTTAGAGTGCTTGATATCAGAAATTTGGACAAATGTACCCGAATAGAAAAGAATGCTTTCCGTTCACTTCCTAATTTAGTAGAATTAAGAGCTTATGGATATCCAAGACTGGGATATTTTGATATGCAAGGTACATTACAGTATTTATCGGCTTTGGAAAAATTAGATGTTGAAGTAAAAGATACTAATATTGGTGCTGATCAGTTGCATTCGACGCTTCATCCTCGCCTAGAAGAACTTGGTATAAGAGGACCGAGATTAAAATCTGTATCTTCTGGAGTTTTAGCAGGACTAAAGGCGCCAAGTATAACGGTCCGATTCCGTAATACGTTAGTGACTAGTTTACCACCAGCCATACTTTTCCCCTTGCCAAGATCATCACAAATAACTATCGATGTAGCGGGTAGTCAATTGAGTACTTTACAGCCAGCACTTTTAGTGGCTCTTGATGATCGACGAGCTGATTTATCAATGTTTGGATTAGAAACGAATCCGATAAAATGTGATTGTAACGCAAGAGCATTACGAAGGTGGTTACCAAATGTTGGTATTGATAATGTACGCTGTGACTCTCCAGATCATCTATCGGGTTTTCTTTTGGTTGAGATAGGAGATGACGAGCTGTCATGTGATACTAAAAGGAAAACAACGATTACATCTTCTTCTAGTCTCAGTACTACAACGATACCTCCTCGACTCGTCCATCGGACGTCCGCTGAGCCCGACATAATATGGTCAGTTGCTCCATCACACGACCGGCCTAAAGTAGCTGGGGAGCCGAAAGGCGCGCCAGTAGTTGGCATTGCGTCATCAACGAACGATGACAATCTTATAATAGGCATTGTTGGAGGTGTGGTAGCGTTTATAGCTATACTTATAATTGCTATATGCGTAGTTCGGTTACGAATGACAACATCGTCGTATAGAGGTGGTCCATTAGCTAGTAGTCCCGCAACAGCGGCAGCACCTCTATGGGGAGCAGCATGGCCGGGCTACGCTGCCACCCTGCCTCCTGCCTCGTTATCTACTGCCACTTTACCACATAAGGTACAGTCCGGGCCAGGCTCAGTGCGCTATTTAGCACCACCCCCGCCAGCACCCTATTTTATTAGCATGCCGCCTCATGACGACAAAATATATCGGTAGAGCAATTTTGATTAGATATTGTAAGTTATATCTAGGTATAGTGATAGTTGGGATATGCCATTTTCTGTAAATATTGAAAATTCAAGAAGAATTTATCATATCAATAATTAGTTTTTGTCTTGCATAAAGACTCTGAACGCATTCATATTTCATATCGTTGTAGATATTTTTAACGTATTACTTACACATAATAATACTTTTTAAGCTAAAGATTCTAATTTACTTGACTGGATTGAACATGTCTAGTCACCAGTGACAGATTCTCAGGGTAAAATAAACCTCTTGTATTTAACGACTTCAAATATTATGTAAAATATTTATTTGAGAGTAATGTTACACTATTATAGATTAAGCTAGTATTACTTATTCAATTTAAAAGTAAATCTTACAAGTGAAAAGTGATTTGTTTTATTTATCAACGAAATATTTCGAGAATTCTTCTAATTTTATACTCCAAACTTTTTTATTGAATTGTATTTGAAGGAACAGAGAAGGTCAAGAAATGTTAATTTTGGCGAAGCAAAAGGTATTAATTTAATTGTTTAAATTGAATGATACTAGAATAAAATTCATAAGATGAATTATATTTTTTCTTGGTTTTTTTCCACAATATCAACCAAGTCAGAAAAACGTGAAAAGAAGTGTTAAACTGCCTAAAACCACTCGACATGGAAACTGTAGGTTTGAAACAAGAAGATATCTGTCATTTTTCATTTTAATTTTAATTATTTATCTTTAATGGTCTGCATTTTAATAAGGGAAAAATTCAACTAGATGTGGCCTAATTTGTGGAAATACTTTATCAGAAACAACGGTTTTAAAGGCCTTTGTTTACGATCATAAAATTTGCACAAAACCCCTACACGTGTCACTTTTTCAGGCGTAAAAATGGAAATAAGTCTTGCTTATAACGTTTTTGTGGTGACTGTTGAACATGAAAATAAAGTAATGGCATACTTTTGAAAAATATTGTCAGACAAATATTAAACTTTTAAATTTTCATTAACATGCTTTCTTCTATGCAATTTAAATAAACTAGTAATTATTTAAGCATTTTATTATGTCATAATTTCAATGTTTTGTTTTGATCAAAACGTTTTACAATGCAGCTTAAAGAATAGACTAAAGTTACTTTAACTATACCAATTCATAAAACTATACATGATACCTATTATTTTATCTTACAGTATGTTATTATTAAAATGAAAATTACCACTTTCATATTATATACTACACACTATAAAGTACTCCAAATCGTTTAAAATAAATATATTACGAGGGCGGGATGATAAATAGCTAGCCTAGCATAGAAAAACTTGAATTAGTGTGTTAAAAGTATATTTATTTTTCGACATAGTCTCCTTGAAGCGCTATGCACTTCATCCATCTATGCTCTAAAGCCTGATGTGGTTTTCTTAAAGCCCTTCAAAATAACTGTCCACGGCAGACATCACCTCGCTATTATTTTCAAACCATTGTCCACCTAAAAAATTTTTGAGCTTAGGGAATAGATGAAAGTCAGATCAGGAGAATAAGCTGGGTGTGGTAGCAAATCATAATTTAATTCTTTGATTTTTGCCATCGCAGTGATGCACGTGTGAACGCGCGCATTATCCTGATGAAAGATTTTTTTTTAGCCAGGCCGGGTGTTTTTCACAAATACACACTTGTAATTTATCCAGTAGATCATATTCGCCATTTATGTTTTGTCCTTTTGGAAGGTAATCAATCATCAGTAGATCCTTCGAATCCCAAAATACTGACGCCTTGACTTTCCTCGCTGATTTCACGGCTTTTGCTTTCTTTGGAGCCGGGATCCTTTTTCCGTCCATTGTTTAGACTGAATTTTTGATTCAGGTATATAGTGGTGAACCCAAGTCTACTCTGTAGTAACAAACCGTCGCAGAAAATCAGTTGTATTGCTCTTAAAGCGGTCCAAACATTCTTGTGAAATTTGCATACGAACGCGTTTTTGGTCAACTGTAATCAATCGTGGCATCCACCTTGCGGATAATTTTTTCATACATAATTGGGTGATGTTCATCTTGGGTGCTGGTACGGCCAAGTTTAAATTCAGCCACCCAATTTTTTATGGTCGCATAAGGAGCATTTTCTCCAAAAAACATCCTTCATCTCCGAAAAAATATCTCCACCTTTTAAATGCAAAAACTTTATCACAGCTCGTAGCTCAATTTTATCCATTTTGCAGAAAAAACAAAAGAATGCTTTTTGAAATGTCAATATTTAAAAGAAAAACTATACGATCGATTTGAAATTTGGAACACTGGCAGCTAATGAACCAATGAGTAAAATACTAAGGAGATTTTATATCGTTATTATACAAAATATGGGTTGGGTTAGCTATTTATAATCCCGCCTACGTACAATATCGCTATAAAACTTGTTTAACGTTTCTTAAATGAGAAACGTGAGCTAAGTTATCATTACATTATTTCATATTTATTAACTCGAATCAACTTAGCAGAATAAATCTATCTCAAAAACTCTATCTAACACTAAAAGAGTTTTAAAATAGAGAACAAAGATCAACAACGATTTTAATTCACTACAAAATAGTATGATGGGGGCTGACGTTTTTTGTCAGCAATTGCAAACCATGCTGGAAAAAGTAGCTGTTAAACAACCGAGGCTGGTCAATCACTCTACGCCGCTTCTACTTCACGACAACGCTAGACCACACACTGCACAACAGACGGCTACCAAATTAGAAGAGCTTTAATCGGAATATCTAAGCTATCCACCGTACTCTCCGGACCTTGCTCCAACAGGTAACATTGTCTTTTGAAATTTGGATAACTTCTTGCACGGGAAAAAAATCAACTCCGATGAGGCAATGCAAATTGCCTTCAAAGATTTTATTTATTCCCATCCGAATGGTTTTTCTAGTAAGGGGATCAATGAACTACCTATGAGTTGACAAAAATGCATAGATAACAATAGTTTAAACTTCGATTAAATAAATATACTATATTAAAATTATTCGACTATTAGTTACTCGCATACCAAACACCAATTTAATATGTAAGGACCTAATATTTACCTATTCCGATAGTATGCAAAGCACTTTTAAGTTTGAAAGGCAATAGGCAAAAATTAATAAGCAATAGGCAAATATTTATAATTTTTCTCACTGTCCCCACTTCTGGATATAAATTTTGAAAATAAATACAGAATTGACTTACATAGTTTTGACTTACAGTTAACAGAAAAATAAATATTTGTTTTGAACTTTCGCAGAGGCCAACTATCATTTAGTTTGTTTTTACTTTTCTCCAAAATGTAATATCATAATTAAGTTAATTTATAAAATTATTCTTAATGAAAAAGGCTGTAAAAATCCACTTTGCCCCTGGCACTCTGGAATGAGACTCGAACCCATGACCTTTCGCAATCCGGACTGCTGGATTTTTAAGCATTTTTGGTTAAGAATATTTTTCAGTATAGCATTTTGAATGCAAAATTGATCAAATATAATTATATAAAATTATTGCTGATATGATATTTGTAATAAAGACCGATACAGTGTTTTCATATTGATCACAAACGTTTGCGAACGAATTGCAAAATTGAATTTCTCTGACCACTGCTCTGGGATGATTTGAATGAACGGTATTTATGTGCATCTATTGTGAGCGAATACGTAGATGAACGTGTTACATTTTTGTCGGACAATATCGGTCAGCTATATTTTTTTGCAAGATACCTAGTTGGTTTTGAAATAACATTGAATGACGACGTGTAATATTATAGGTATAACGGAAATAGGATCAATTCTCTTTTTTCGATCTATCCTGCGTCAACATTTAATGCAATGTCATTAACACTAAAAGCGCCGAAGGTTAAGATCTCCCTTAAACCACCTTCGTGACAATTTTGTCCTATTCAACGTATTATAATGATTATTGCTATAGCTAATGAAAGTTATTATTAAAACAATTCATGAAATATTTAGAGCACGTTTATTACTCAAATAAATATAAAGTCTTATTAATTCTTGCTTAACAAATATAAAAATTCAAAAAAAAAAAAATTTGCAGTCGGCAGAGCGGCCGGCTCAAATATTAAATATATAACTACAGATATATTGCGCAGTATGAAGTTATGGAGACTTAAATAATAAAGTTAGTTACCTTGTACAAATTTTATCTGAGTATCTTCAATTCGTGACATGACAACTGGAGTATTCCAAAGGTTTGCCGTCTGAGTTATCTTTCAAAATATCATTAAAAATAATACACGATTTTGTGCAGTTTTATTATTTTATGACTTTGATTATATCTATTTATCTACACACGTGAGAAGCGCACTTAGAAGACCAATAATGTATGCTCAATACGCACAGCAATAGCTAACGTAATACAATAAACTAGAATAAAGTTCATTTGTTCTTCCACATAGGATAAAAGCCGGATAGTTGCCTCGGAAGGATACTTGCCACAGTTTCGAACACACTATTATATTAGGCTTGTTGCTCGTGTTTGGACTTGATTATAAACGGAAGTGCCCCCCATGTAGGTCTCTGTGTCGCAAAAGCCGTTGAAATAGACGCGCGTGGTTTGTCTGTGTGAACAAAAAACTTCGGCGGCGATGCTTTGACGAGCGTCAGAATTATATTAGTAAGTAATCTCTGTTAAATATTTTTATTACTGATTACGATTTCAGCAATTTTTTTGTGTCTTTGCATACATTTTGGTTTTAATTGCACTGTTTATTACTTTTTATTAATAAATATCTTTTATTTATTTCTTAAATAAATAGGGCAAGTACCCGTATCAAAAAGGATAGTAGCCCTATTGACTTTTGCGGATAGTTGCCTTAGGGCAAAAAACTGTAACTAGAATTTTTTAACAAGCAAAGACAGATTTTTTTCTTGGTGTTTTTGTATTTATTTTTACTTATAAAAGAAACATCAACTCAACAGCAAAATGCCTTGTAAGTATAAACTAAAGCCGGTAAATATTTTCACCATCTCCGGAGAA